ACAGCACTCTCCCTGCAAGCTGTACTATTAATCGCCAATTGTGATATAATTGTGATGCAGTTGTCATGCAGTCGTGCCAACTGCACAAAACTATTTTGCAATTGCATTGCAGTCGGAATGCTGCTCGTGTAACTTCGGCCTTTAATACAAAACCGTTGAGATAGATAACTGCGATGTTATAAATAACTGGCAATTGAATGTATGATTTAATAATACACACATATACAGCCAGAAGAGACGCATATAATAACAGAATTATCAGATATGTTTTCATGGTACCTGAATCGACGCCATAATTAATTGTAAGATTTTCTCAAACTCCGAAGGTAACAAACGGTCAACAATTTTGCTCACATCTGCGAACTACCAGCATTAATCTCGTGACAGGGCCTAGAAAACAACAGTAATAAATTTATTTTCTATTGGTGTTATAAGGATACGAAATATGGCAACACCATACAAAGTACAGTGTGCCACATAATATTGAGCTATTCGGGTTTTACGGAAACTTATGAAGAGGAATTCTGCAATCAAGAAAAATGACACATTAAATATGAACATTGTATCTTAATTAGTAAGGTAAACTTTAAATTGCAGTAGCCAACTGATGAGCGTGAAAATTATGTTAAATAATGTATTAGAATGATATAGGCTGACAATGTTAATGAAAATTAATTTACGTATAACTTGAATAGACCATCGTTTATATAAAGTTCAAGTTTATAATTTTTATAGCTTGACGCGTTGCCGGGATTTCTGTCTTTGGGTTATATGCTGTTTTTAAATGTGGACCATTTCAGCAAGTTGACCGATTGGGGAAGTGGACCGTTTGGGTAAGAAAGTAGACTAATGATTCCGAAGGGATTGGCCAGTTTACTCGGAACTTATAACCACATAGATGACAATTTACTCGCGTACTTTGAGAAAACCTCACAAATAAACTTTCTTATCCTTTATAGAGGGTGTTCGAAAAACTTTGATCACAAAAAGTAGGTAGGCGTGAACATCCCCGTATATTAGAAAAAAATGTATTTTCCAACAGGCAATGTAATATGAAAAAATAAATTATAAGTTGTATAATGTTTTTTCTTTACAACCTTCCGGTCACAAAATGTTGCCAGTAAAAAAATCTGGTTTTTTTTTAGATTGTAAGTTTTAGCTTAAAAAGAGTTACGTTATTGTACTTGTATTTTTTTATTTCTAAAATATATGCTATTTGGAAGATTTATTATAAATTATTGTTGTTTTATTTTCCGAAACATATCCTTGCGCACCACTAGACGGAGCCACGTTACGTTCTTACGCGTTCGTAGAAATAATAAACAAAGTAATAGAACAAAAGAGACTCAGTTTTGCCGCATTTTCGCGTACTGGTAAAAAAGGTAGAGATTCGGAAATACCTATCAGGAATAACCAGAGTTTCAAGACTATTTCAAAAGTAGGTTTCCTTACTTACAGACTAGTCTGGGAGTCTAAAGACAAAAATATATCCTATGATCTCATGGGAGCATAGCGGCGAAAACATTACTCATGGATCCCATTAGATTATAGGCATGGGAGCTAAGTGGCGTTTAGGCGTTCAAAATATGAGATTTTATCAAGCTCTATAGAGAGTTAACTCACCTGGTGTCCATTTGGTTGCGCAACCAATTTGGCGGCGCGACCAACTCGGACGCGTGCACAGAATGTTACTGGTTGCGCCGCCACGCTGGTCGCGCCACCACTAACTACTATAGCGCTGTATGGTGTCTCACTCACTCGGCCGCCAGTGACGCCCCACCTCATTGCAAGCAACACGCGTGCACGTTGTTTTGATTTTTAAACTACTTATTTTAATATTTTGATTGTTTGTTCATTGCATACGATGGATAATTTCGAACTTATCCGGATATCTTCTTAGATCGTCGTATATGTTGACGAATTGTCCTTTCTTACAGCGATCGGCTAAATGAGGATGAACCCACCACTGTTTCTTTTTTCTCTTGTACTCTCTTTTCCTACGTACATACAGCAGTAGTGCTATCTCTTCGAGGTCCATTTTGATACTGTCTCAATGTGGTGTGGCGACTCTGGTGTCTGCATGGTGTCTAGTTTGGTAGCTTACGGACACCACGGTGGCGCAACTGGTTGCGCCGCCATGGTGTCCCGGTGAAATATAGCCCTAAATGAAAAGCGGCTTCACTTCGTACGTTGCGTATGCTCCATTTGCCTATTGTTTTGTAATCCGAGTTTTTACCCTTCAAAATCGGAACTTCGGCAGAAATAGACAAGGTGCCAGTACATCCCTGGACGAACTCTTTCACAGCGAGCTCCACAGCAACTAATTTGTATTAGTATTGTGTAACAAAGTGGGATAAAAATAAAGCAAGTAAATGTGCAAGTCGTAAAGTTTATTGTATATTTTTTTTCAGTTATTTCCTTAGAACTAAATCATATATCGTAATAGGCGCTTTATACATAGGTACCTTATTCACTACCCATGCTTAGAAATACTATGTTTATAGTAAATCTAACGAAAGTTAGAACAGGTTTTCATGAACCCTTCACAATAAAGGCCGGTTACATAAGGCGACTTTTACACCGTAAACACATTTACTTTACACGGACTTGATTTGGGTCACTAAACTCATACTCCAATGCTAGCTACGCGTAATTGCACTATTCCCGACGTTATCCATCGCGAGAGTAGAAACTTAAAAAATTTGAATCACAAACGCACGTTTGTATCGCTGTTAAGGCGCTCCGCAGATGGAGCAACTTTAGTTGACACAACTGGCAACTTTTGACAAGTTTCCATTAACGGTTCCCGGTTGTAACAAAAAGCCTAGTTGCCGGTTGCCGCAATTTTAAATAAACTTTCGAAATCCACGGTCAAGACATGACACTGCGGGGGACGGGGCGGGAGTGAAGTTGCTTCACGAGTTGCGGTTGCCGATTGCGGAAACTGGCAACTGGAGACAACCGGTACAAATGTGCAAGTTTCTAGTTGCGGCTATTTATTTAATCACGGATTTCGGCAATCGATTCCGAAACTCTCAACTGAAGTTGCTACGTCTACGCGGTTTCTTGAAATTATATGAAAAACGTCATAAACAGGTATTAGCGGGTTGCCAGTTGCCGAAACTCGATGATCAAAGTTACTCCAACTACGCAGCGTCTCATAGTCGCCGTGTGAACCGCTCTTAAGGTCCCAACAAAATGAACTGAATTCATTTTACAGTCTTCTTATCGTGCTGGTGCTTTCTTTTCAAGACTACAGTTCTGCGATATCAAAATTTTCTCACAATACTTTTTGAACAATAATGTTACTTTACACAGAGACAGTTGCTTCAGCTGTACCAAGCGCAAGACCGGTCGTGCATGGAGTATTGCTGCCATCTTTGGAGTGGTTCTGCTACATACCAACTGGCCATCTTGGATTCAATTGACAGCCGTGACAAGAAGCTTGTAGGTGACTCGGAATTAGGGGACGCGAAGCTGCAGAGCCTTGAACACCGCCGTAAAGTAGCCTGCTTATCGGTATTTTACAGGATGGAATTACACGATTTAATTTTGCCTTTCCATCACCGGGGGACTAGACGTAAGCTTGGATTCCACCTCTAAGATGTGGATATTGAGATAGAGTGGACTTCCCTACCTGCGGACTTGTTCCCTGACAATATAACTTGGACCTTTTCAGGGCAAGAGTGAATAGGCATTATTTAGGTGTGTATGCTCCCATCGACGACCTCATCGTCACTTTCCATCAAGTGGGATAGAGGTCAAATGCGCACTTACAAAATTACAAAGCAGAAAACTCGATACCGGCGAAATCCAAAAAGGTACCCTACCGCCAATAAGCAAAAAGATGCTTTTTTATTTTAGGACTCTATTGACTTTTATAGTACGTTGGCAGCTTGATGCACTTATCTGTGGCTGCGTGGAGACCTTGCATCATGCAGGTGGGCACGTGGGGCATACCAGCAAGTGCTGCGTGGACTTTCTTGAAGCACCAGTCACATTTTTTCTTATGATATCAAGTGACAAAGTGAACAAGTCGTATGACTGGTGGTAAGAGACACGCCTATCCCTAACACTTGCAGTGCCATTCAAACCTCTAAATTACAAAGATCCGAGGAGTACTGCCACCTGCACCCGTTGAGACATAAGTTGAAATTGGACCAACACCGGAACGCAGTAATGTGAGCATTACTCTGCCGCTGTTAACTTGAAAGGGCGCACGTGACATTAAAAAAAATATTTATGTCTGTCTTATAAAAAGGCCTCTTTTTAACAGACTTCAAAAAAGGAGGAGGCTCTCAATTCGACTGTTTTTTTTTGTATGTATGTTACGCGACAACTCCGGTATTTGTGAACCGATTTTCATGATTCTTTTTTTGTTGGAAAGGGAGAACTTCCTTAATGGTCCCATTTCATTTTGAAGAAAATCATCCACCTCGAAGGGTGGCTGTTCATGCATGAAGATTCATTTTTATAAATAGCGCCTAACTTTAATTTAGGAGCAATTACTTTAATGGGTGATTTTGCTATTTCTCCAGTTCAAGGCGTTTTTCTCTCAATATACTTTGAGTAGTGTCGTAGTGAGAACCTATTTTTATTATCTCCAGTGTCAAGTCCTGTATAATGGCGAACTAGGGGATATTTCAATAAAACTTAGCAAATAGACGTAATTCCACGTACTTTTGAGGTCGGTTTTTTTAGTACTCTGTACAGATATATTATTTCTCTATAAAGTACGAAATTACCGCAAGAGAAAAGTAGATGGTTTTTTTTATTGAATTTTTTTTAATACTATATTTTCTTGGTTTTGAGTTTATGTCACAAGAGCGCCCTTTCAACAAACTGGCGGCACAGCAGTACTGCTTAATGACAGACATAGTTAAAGTGGCAGTAGTTCCCTGGACGAATTTTTTCACAAGCTTTTTACTGCAACCAATTTTATAACCAAAAATAATTTACTTTGGATTAGGTAAGCATCCCGGAACTCCCATCCCTTAACACTCATCCAGTCTTACAATTTACGGTCGAGAACATGAAGTAAATTCATTTTTTTATGAGACCAAGCTCGAAACTCGCAAAAAACTAATCTTTTATGAAACAGATGATTTATTCTAGCGGTTTCACGCTAGTCAACCTCAGACCTCAAACCTCAGACTTCAATTGAACTCAATACTACTTACGAGAAGGATAATTCTAACCATAAAGCTAAATTTGTTTTTAAAATATTTTCAGTTGATTTTGTTGGAACGGAGTATATGTACTTAGAAAATTTATTAAATTTACATTATATTTACAAAATGTAACAGAAATCAATTTACATAAATCAGCTGGTAAAGCAGCGTCTCATGATACACTGATTAAGTCAACAAACCAACGAAACGACCAGTTCAAATTAACACTAGTGCTTTATATCGCGACGGGCTCACACACTTGGTAGTTTCCCGTGACGACACGACTTGAAAAAGAAATTTTGATACTCATTTACTCGAAACAAAAGTTTCAAGTCTCATCGGAGCCAAAATATCGCGAAAATCGAAGAAAAATTACGATGGTTTCATGAACACGTTTCAAGTTTCCTAATAAAACCGTATCTTGCCCTTGATCAATACAAAACCGGAGATGATGTATGACAAAAACCGTTTTTCAGGTTAGAGACTGCAGGTGCTTGGACTTGAAACACACTCCTAAGCAAGCATCTGCCCCAACCAGAAACCAAGAAAATCGAAGGCAGGATCATCTTCCAGCTGTTTAATTCAGTTGGTCGTGGCTCAGCGTCGCAATTAATAGTGATCCCAATGGATCTGGTTGCATTGATGAAGGGCTTCATAGGCCCTAAGTCATCATCATCCTGGTTCTCTGACGGACAATCTCATCACGAATAAGATCTTTCAAAGAAACTCCGAGCTTAAGGCTAAGATCACTAAGTGACTTCAACTTGATGGATGATGCCACTCTAATAAAAATGCATGTATAATTTTCTATCCAGTTCATCGTAAATGACAATAAGGTCAAACTTCAGGGTCCAGTATAGTTTTTACAAATGATTAACGACACATCGTGAAGATTATCCCTATTCTATAAATACTTGTAAAATGGATTGAAATCCTTTTCTTTGTTATCCATAGGAGCTTCCTTCGGCTGTTCTTTGCTACTATTGTTATCTTTAAGCAAAACTGCAATCAAGTCTTTGTCCAAACCGCAAGAACTATGCGATTCGGATTTCTTTATAACATTTTCGAGGAAGAAGTTTCTAAATCCCGCATAGAAGAGGCACGCTGACGTCTTTACACCCCATTTTTTTCTCATAGATTCAAAAAATACGTCCAATTGCTCTGTATTCAGGTTTCTCGTACATAAGTACTCGTAGCCAAAATGTTTCATATCCGACGCTAGACTTAAAATAGACCGTATTGAAATTTCAAAGCATCGCATCGTTTCTACAGTATTAGTAACATCTTCGTAGTTTTTAGTTATTATCTTCAAATTGGATAATATATTTACCATTTTGTCCAAAGTAGCAATTTGAAATTCTTTAAAACTAAATGGAACCTTAAATCGGTCTTCCTGGCCTTCCACAGAGTTTAATATATCAAATGAATCATTCAATAGTTCTACAAATTTAACCGTACCAAAACTTCGGTTTGTCAAATGCTTCTGTTCAATACAACTCATGACTCCGAATGCTACAGTTTTACTAAACACTTGTGTTGAATATTGTATTCGTGTCTTTTCTAAATCATTCGGTCTTATGTGACTTTCAGTCAGCTTTGGAGCCAATTTACAAAACCTTGTTTTATCTGTCTCGTATAGTTTTTCTATATCAAACCAAGAGGCAAGCATTTCGGTGCCATCAATATCAATAAATCTAAAGAAATTGTTTATTAACAAATTCCTGAATGAATGCATGAGATGTATAACATCGAATATGAAATATATTTTATGGTTGTTGACAAAGAAATATGGCTGTTCAAACGAGATATTTCTTTCCTTTGCCATATTTAGCAAGTGTTCTTGCTCTGTTGTGGAGAACGCTACAATTTTCAGCCCAATACTCAATAGAGTTTCTATAATATCATCAAGCCATTTGTTCACTTCATTATAATTGAAGTTTTCTTTCAAAAAACAAGATATTAACGGTTGTTTCCAATCACAATAAAGACCTCTTAGTAAAACTACTAAACAATATGTAGCAGGTTCCGGGCTTTGTATTTCATTAATTTCATGATTGCCTATACTTTTATTTGTATTGGCAATTTTGTGTATTTCTTCCCTTAATGGTATAATACTTGTACAGACAACACAGTAGGTTTCTTCTTCTTTCATTTTACTTAGCATTAATTTCAAACAGCCAATTACGGTATCTGTTAGTTTTGTTGTAACTCCAACCTCGATTCTTCTTAAAGTTTTCTCTGTCGGCAGATTCAATTGTTGTCTCAAAGCTTTATAAGCATTAGGGTTCGAATAAAATAAATTTAATGAGAGAAATTTTAATTCATTCCCATATGAACGTCCTTGTTTGATTTTCTCTTGTATGGTTTCTACATCGGCTTCAGTTGAATCACTGTCATTGGTTCCATCTTTCCTGTATTTCTTTTCGTGAATCCTCCATTGGTTTTGTACACGACGTATTGATTCTTCTAACCTGTTAGCCATTCTAGTATCATAGTCCAAACATTCAGAATCTGCAATAGAATCATCGCTCTCTTCTGCTTGGGTTACTTTTTTCTTACTTTTCCCCTTCTTAGATTTCTTCGATGTTTTTGTTGCTTTTTTAACATCCTTCTTTTTTGTTTTCTTCACAGTTTTTGCCAATTTTTTCTTCTTATCTTGCTTTTCTGTGACTATGTTAGAAATATCAGGTTGACATGTTATATCAAATATAGAATTGTTTGTAAAATTTTGGTCAGAGTCTAATTTAATAGTCATCTGAACATCTATTTCTGAATCCATATTTTCTGTATCCAATTCCATATCTGTAGAAGAATCATTTTGTTCCAGTTTTAACGCTTTAGGATCATATTCATTTATTGTTACAAATAACTTCCTTTTCAATGGGTTTTCAGATCTCCAATCATTCTGGTCAGTCGAATCTGTTTGAACAGCAATCTCAGTCGTTGCTAAATCAGTCTGAGTTGTTTCTGATACACCATTTTGTTCAGTTTGCGTTGACTTTGTTGAATAAAACTTGTACAAAGTATGTGGCATATCCATTGTTAGTTTTGCATATTGATCTTTGTAATAAAAATCTGGTAGCCTTTGTCTGGACACCTGAAAGGAAAAGCCACTTTGTAACAATATCGCAACAATATCAAATGATGATGAATTATATTTGGGCTCCGCATTGGTGACAATATTATCAAGGTCATTCACACTAGTCTTGTACAAGAACAAAGTAAATTAGTTATTTAAACTTCTTTTTACATAAAACTGGAAAATGATCGAACTATTGTCTTTTCTTCTTTTTAATTATTGGCAGTGGCTTTTCAGGATTTCACCAGCATCAAGTGTTCCGCTAAGTAAATTTTATTGATTCCAGTGGGATCAGTAAATCAGTAAGTTACCTATTAAGAGATACTTTTTTAAAGAGAACAAGCTTATGTAGTGAATTTTGGATTATGCGACTTGGCAGCCCTGAAGGTCAATAATAGTAGCTGACGGATAGCTCATTATAGCCTTATATTATTGCTGGATATTATAATCACAGAGATTATAATAATGATCAAAGAGAAATGAACATACTTCTGGGGTTGATTTAAAGTTTTTTTTTATACAAATGTAGATGCGCATTTGACCTCCATCTCACCTGATGGAAAGTAACGATGAGGTTGACGATGGAGAATGCACACATAAATAATACATATTCACTCTCGCCTTGAAAAGGTCCAAGTAATAACGTTTAGGGAACAAGCCTGCAGGCAGGGAATTCCACTTTGTAGGCATTTGCCATATGAATGTGGAAGCATAACGCTTCGTGTGAATGTTTTGCGAGTTTGTAAGTTTGGGGACGAACAGGGAAAAGAGATCCTGTAATGATACAGAATACTTGGAACAGCTGAAAAAGATGTGGTCAGTGGTTCCTTCGTCGAATTTGCGTTCTAGAGATAGCTGTCCTTTACCCTAATTTTGGCTAAGGGAGCATACAGGTACACGAGTAGCCTAGCCTTAAACGACATATGGTGGATGTGTAAGATTTGGATGCTTTGTTGTATTTAAAGAACCAAGGATTTGGATGTCTGTATAATGCCTTCCTTTTAGGGTGCTAGTTTCTCTTTATTTGGTGTCCTAGGAGGACTCCATATTTAGTATTAAAGGCCATTAGCCTAAAAGGTTGGACAGAAAAATTGGTCGATGTCTGTATGAATGAACAGTATAGTACCATATAATAAAGAACAAATGAAGTCTATTACTACACATCTACCCATAAGAGTTACTGTACCACTCGGAGCTTTAAATCGCAAAGATCTTAGGGGCACTGCCACTGCGCCTATCCCAATGAGCCATAAGTTGACAAGTACCATGTACCTGTATTTTCCCCAGCACTCCTGACCGTCAAAATCTATAGAAAGAGGTATGGTGGCAGTACCACTATTAATATTTATAACATTACCACGCAAAGACGCCACCACTGCGACCAATAAGTCTACAATGGTCATCATAAATAACAATTAGTGAAGACCATCAGAATTGGAGGCTAACCGAATTATGATGACCTGATCTGGAACTCGGTAAACGCGTACCGGTTCTTAGATAATAAACCGCGCCGCACTGCGTTCTGTGTGTGGTTTTTATACAATATTCATAAACTACAAATATTTAGACTTATATAACTATTTCAAAACTAATACCACAATGAACAAAACTCGAAAGGAATGGCAATTTTTAGAAACAAATTATACCAAAAAATTACCTCGTTTTGTCCAATTTATACGTAAAACTTGTTAACTGAAGATTCAATGCTGTTTATAACAATACAAGTTCACTTTGTTTACGATTAGATCGTATTAATATTTCGTTTTATGCCATGTTTTCTTTAGTAAAACTAAATATTGGCATACCGCACAATCAGCCATTTGTAGAAAGTGATACGTTTTGTGATTGCCTAATGATAGCATAAAATTTTAGTTGTAAACTAAAGTTATTAAGTAAAATATTTATTATGTCCATATTTAAAGAGTGTAAACAATTGATAGTTTAACGTATTAAAGAAAACTTAAATAACATTTTATAGATATTTAACGTATATATGATATAATAACTTACAAAAACCGACTTTTGTTGAACACAAACAAAACGCAAACGACCTTCGAAAATTGACAGTCGCGGCAAAGTGTGGCCAATTTCGTCAAGGACAGTGTTTCTGGGTACTGAAAAGTAGTTTTTTTTAAATATTTAATATTAACATCTGTCAACCTTTGTAGCTTTTGTTCAATATTATATTTTTTTTAAAAAGTCAAATTTTTTTTTTATAACGCTTACAATCAACATATCCCCGCACTAGGGAAACCCTGTGTCGCGGGTGCCATGGACACACACATAGACAACCACAAATTACACCCAAACTCACGAGAGAAATGAATGTAGGCCATACAAATATTTCGCAACCCATTTATCTAAATTGAAAAATATATGGACCGAGCTGAATCAAGAGATGCTTCAAAACAAAAATTACTCGAACTACTATTGGTCTGCAAGATCTGTTACACCCTTGGTGAAGATTATTTTTCATTTAGAAGTAGTTGGCTATTAACACAAAAAGCAGACAGAACCGTGGAAATCTAACCAGCCACTTATGTGCATACGAGAAAGCTTTGTTAAGTAAGAATATTCTTGATCAGGAAGCTCTGACTACTAATACGAGCTCACGATAAGGACAAAAGGTTTAAATGCAGCTATTGCTCTGAAAAGAACGTAGAGTGCGAAACTGTCAAAAGTGGAACAAGAACAGCAAGTGTCTTATCCAAACAAGTTCAGAACATTACATTAATGGCTGTTAATGTTATAAAAAACTGCAATCCATACAGCGGAAGCCTACATTGGCACCTCGATAATGGAGCTACGAGTCATATTACTGTTAGAAGGAATTAATAATAATAATAATAATAATAATAAATACCCTCCAAGACTTTGAAGAATTTGACAGCAGTCATACAATCACGACTGCAGACGCAACATCCATTGCTGCAAAAGGAAAAGGTTATATCGTGGTAGAATCAAATGCCAATAGAAAGAAAGAGAAAATAACACTAAGTGATAGGTGATTGGTACCGTCTCTGACAAAGAACTTGTTCTCTGTACTAGCTGCACAAAATAATAATAATATGCAATATTTTGCATATTATTTCGTTTATTAATATTTTATTGCATATTTACGTCAACGACCCGAGATTGCAAATTAGATATAGGAGATATCACGAAGATTTATGGTAAAAGAGTTCCATATGGTGGACTATACAAATTGAATACGAAGACAGTTATTCCAATAAAAGATTATTGAAGTTAATATAGCTACAAAGACTATTCGATCCAGAGATATTACTTTTGAAACCGTTGTTGAATTAAAGTGTCCACAACGGTTTCTGAGTATCTTACAGAAATAGAGGGAGATAGTTCAGATAGATTAGCGTGTATTTCCTCCTTTATCTATACTTTATCCTTCCGAAGTAGAGGGTGACAGTCAACGACAGACACCCGCCCCAATTGAGAACCCTGAAGATACAGCAAGATTAAATTCAGACGTTCAACAGTAAGAGAACATACATGGTGACATATTGACAGGACTTTCAACCACAGGAGTAGCGAATATCTATGCAGCAGGTGCCGTATCATGGATTAGTCAAAGATAATCATCGTTTATAATCTCTATAACCGAAGCAGAAATACTAGCTGCAGCGAAGCTACCAGAGAACTTATATGGCTTCAGAGAATATTCTGTGATCTGACAGACATTAAGGAAGTTCCAATTTTATAAGTTGACAATGAAGCTGCTATTCGCCTCTTGCTCATAATCATGAATTTCATAAGAGGACTAAAAACATTCGTGTAAGACACTTCGTTCGTGAAGCTGTTCAAGGTGGCCTTGTAGTTGTCGAAAAAACAAGCTCTGCCAGTCAACAAGCAGACCTAATGACTTCCAGACCAAGACTCACAGAACTACGAGCTAAGCTGGGAGTACATGAGAACATTTAGAGAATCATAAGAAACTTTCTTCTTATCAGTGATTCAAAGTGTCAAGACCAGTGTTTCTGGATACTGAAAAGAAGTAGTTTTTTTAAAAATCTTTAGTATTAACATCTGTCAACCAATGTAGCTTGTTCTATATTATATTGTGTCATTCATATGTCTTAGTTTTTGTAACTTTAATATCTCTTATTTATTTAATATTTACAAGTCATATTAAGAACTTCTACTGAAAAACGCACGCTCTAACAAATTTAATTACTTGCTTTTATTTTGGCGTTTTGCTATTTAATGGTAAGTATGACTTTGGGAAACATTAACAAATTAGAGTTTCCAACAAAGATTTTCGGCTGCAAAAATAAAGAAAAATAATATGAGAAAATGAGATTGTAGAACATTTACCAAGAATCAACTATAAAAATGTTTGAAGAATTTAAAACTCGATGAAGCAGTTTAAGGATTTACAACTTATTGCAAATATAGATACATGCCCAATAGCATATTGAGGGTCGTATTCTAGTACTCTACTCAATGCTCAAGTCAGGACTTGAGTACGATTTCTAGTGCCTGAAATTATATTCAAGTCCAGAATATGAGACTATTTTGTTTTTTTTTAAATTGCTGATTAATTTGGGGAACCCTAAAAGCTCCCTATTCGAAGGTTACTTAAATTCAAAAAGTGGTAACCCGATATTAAAAAATGATGGCTGACTTAATGTCACGCACGAAAAAAATGTGAATATCAAAATTAATTTATTCTTGTTTTTACACGTTAATTACTGGCTAATTAATTTAAAGTTAACGTCAAAACGTACAAGAACACTTCACGGACACAATAGTGTAGTCAAAAATGTAGTTGTGTTATTGAAAATGAATTTTTTTTCGATGCAAAGTTGATACGTGAAGTATTGGTAAAAAAGTGGTGTTTTTTTGTTCACATAGCTAAGAGGTACATTTTTTCTTTTACGCTTGGTATCGATTAATGCCTTGAGCTACGTAGAGCCTTAATTAGTCTGTAAGTGGCGTTTTTCGGCTTGAAAACATTAAATTTTAACGTAGTTTTCGAAAACTTACTTTGAGAATGTAAACATTGGCCTTTATTTCGGTTAAGTGCGATTAGAAAGTGCTTATGTGGTTCCGCACATCGTGACCTTGTTCACAAAGTGTGAGTACGTGAGGTGCAGTGGAATTTTTGTCAGTTTTGTATGCTTGCGTTGTTTTTTTTATCATAATATTTGATTAGACGTATTTTCAATGTAATTTTGTAACTTTACGACTTATTGATAATTATTTCAAACTTTCACAATTGTCTTGTCTGAAATGGCAAATAGTGCTAAAGAGAATTTATAATTATGATGGATGAATAAAAGGCCACAGCCCTACCACCGTAAATTGAACCTTATGCATTGATTATCATAGAATTCAAATTATTATAGATCATAGGTTTAAATTCGCGATATACGCGTATTATACGCGTGACAGTTTTATATGTATATAGTGTGACTTGGATGGAGCAATAAAAATATATGGAGATCCATTGCCTCTGTCTACATTGACTAATAAAATAATAATAACTTTATCTAGTATTCAATAGGTGACCTTATTGCCAAGTAACAATTTCTTCCAGACAACTTCACTATAAAAAATTAGTTAATCTTTTTTGTGCTCTTCTGATGACAAGATGAATTGTTGTCAAATGATGTTATTGCAGAGTCAAAATATTATCTTTGAAGGTCATGGGTTCGATTTCCGGTAGAAATGTAAAATGTCACTATTCGCAGATTGTTCAATTCTCCGAATGTTCGTTCTGCATATTGTCTCACAAGTACTTTTCTCAGAATTTATCTTTTTTTATTGTTGAAATAAGTGTACATTTGACCTCCATCTCACCTGATGAAAAGTAATAATTTGGTGGACAATGGAGAATGTACATGTATATAATTCCTATTTACTCTCATCTTGAAAAGGTCTTAGTTATTTAGTTCAGGGAACAAATCTGGAGGCAGTGAATGCCACTCCATTGCCGTACACCATATAAATATGAAGAAGTAACTTTTCGTGCAAATGTTACTGGAATTGCACCTTACATTTAGACCTCCAATGGTAGAAAGGGAATGGCGAAATTATTTTATGCAATGCTATTGCACATTCTCCATGATATATTATGTAGAATACTGATAAATAGGTAGGCTTCAAGGCTTTCAATTCTTTCTGAGCACCTAGTGCCTATTTAAATAAAAATCTAATTTTATTTTACAGAAATACTTAAAAATGAATGTGAATTCATCAGAAATGGATCCACTTAGCTCATACAATTATACATATCCAAGCCATGATAGTAATATTATGTACCTGCCACCCTATCCTTACAACATGAAGCCGGAATGTCAACCTAATTCTCATTTTAATACAGTCTTAAATCCTATGGTATATGCAAATCCTGTTGCACCAAATGAACAGAACATACAGACTAATCACATTGAAGCGAATGCAATGAATAATGTACCATCTGAAAATTCTCACAAAGTACAAGAAAACCAGACTGTTCTCACAGAACAAACTGCAGAAGAAGTTGACACAAAGGAGCATATAAAACTATTACCGGATATGACTAAACGGAAGAAAGGCAAAGGAAGGACAAGTACATATTGGAATAAAAAAATACAAGATGCAAATTTTCCTTTTTACGGTTGTACCATTTGTAACATCAGTTTTCAAAAGATTCAGGACTTAGATCAACATATCACGATCCATAAAGGGCGTTTAACAAGTTACGGTATCAGATTAAGGAATAAATCGAAAAAGAAACAGCTGAAAAAGGAGCAGAAGCCGTTAAAAAAATCAAAAAAGAAAAAGATTAAAAACGAATTGCCATTAGAAATCAAACCAGAAGATGGTTACATAGGTAATGAAAAGGCTGTGGATTTTGTGCAAAATAATGAGAATTTAGTTAATAATCAAAATAATGACGGTCAAACAAATCAGGAAACGTTGCAAAATGAAAATAAGGATTGTGAGAAATTGCAAAATCCTCAAAACGAAAATAATGGTTCTCAAAATGGCAACAATGACAATTCAAAACAGAGTAAAGAACCGGAAACTGAAGATTCAAGATTACAAAAGTTGTTCAAATGTTTTGCATGTCAAAAGCAATTTTCATTGAGTTATTACTTGAAACTTCATGTAAGGTCACATACAGGTATGTCTTTTTTTAAATATTACAATCGTTTTTATTGTTAATGTAAAGGAATAATAAAATAGTGGAAATGTTATCAAGCAGCATTTGTATCAAAACTGGTGTCGCCACACGCACACACTTGTAAATTTCTTCTTTTTCTTTTTATTTATAAGTGGATTGTTCTGTGTCTCACAATTCCGCCAATGTCACGTAGGTAGCCTCTATTCGGGAGGAAGTAGATTTATTTTCAAATATATATTTTGATCATTACTGCTGTATGCGAGACTCGAAGCGGGTTTATCTAAAACAAAGCATGCAGTTGCAACATCACGGGTCAACACAAAGCATAGCCTTATAAACCAGGGTTATTAGTAAATTTTTTGGGTAAATTAATGAGTTAATGAACACAATGTAGATAGGGTTATAAAAAAATAAATAAATAGACAAATAAAAAATAAGGTGACACTTGTAAACTTATCTATCTACATTACCCTCCGTGTTGCCAGGTCAAATCTGTAAAAGGCTGAAGATATTGCACACAAAAAACAATGCTGAATTTACATTCAAACATTTTTAATCGACTTTCTTCAAACATTGATTGGTCATTTTAATTTTTACTTTACAGGCCAAAGATAAAATTTGTAATGTTTTGTTGAAAATAAAATTGTATTTTTTTTAACCCGTACTAGCGAATCCCTGTATTGCGGGTGCCATGGACACATACGTAGACAACTACAAATTACACCTAAACCGAGAAAAATAAATGTAAATCTTTTAAATGTCGAGTTCTTAGGTTTTTGCGATTGTTACACATAGGAAATGAAACTATTTTTCCGGATTTAAATCGCGTATATTTGTTTTTTCAAACAAACCGACGTTTCGGGCCCTTTATAGGTCCCATGGTCACGGTTGACTAAGGTGGTACAGTCTTCAACCAGTTATATCTAATATTAATGCACACCACCCTATTTTTTCACTATAGTTCAATAGTTATTAATTAAATACCTTATTTTTAATTTTACAAAGAAAACATTCCAATTTACGCTATTTTTATTGAGTTTAATTTATTATTAATTATTAATAGAAATTATAATAAACTAAAACATATTAATTAGTACTGCAGTCTTATGTCTGTTTGGGATTTTTCATCAGAGGAAATACTGGATCCCAAACTGGTGGTACGGAGAAACCATCTTCCCTGTTGAAATTAGGATGTTTTTTAATTTCAATGGCCTCTCGTAGCATCCTGGGTAGATAACGGACTTCTTTTGCAAGGACCTGGGGTTTGTCAAACTTCATTGAATGTGTAGATTTATCCATGACATGCTCGCAGACTGCAGACTTGTCCAACCGTCGCGTAAACAAGTGAAAAAATAGGGTAGTTTGCATTAATATTAGACATAACTGGTTGAAGACTGTACCACCTCAGTCAACCGTGACCATGGGACCTGTAAAGGGCCCGAAACGTCGGTTTGTTTGAAAAAATAAATATACGCGATTTAAATCCGGAAAAATAGTTTCATTTTCATTCAAATATTTTTCCCAGCTCGGGAATCGAACCCGGCAAATGGGCATGTTATTTGTTTGATGTTTACAACTCCCATGTGCCTTTACTTTCTCTAGCACAAAATAGGAAAATCGCAAATCGACGTGGATAATAAATACGTAATTTTCAGACGAAAAACCCTACACGTGTTCAGAGTGCGGACAATCGTTCATAACGGCAAGCAAACTCGGGAGGCACAACAAGAGAATTCATTTAGCTATTCGATACCAATGCAGGATATGCTATAGGTACTTTTCAAGGTGAGTATATCTATTTGAAAAGACTGTCTTAGTTTTTGTCGTGTGTTGGGTGTAAACGACGCGCCAACAGTCGCAGTGCCACTCAGAGCTTCAAATCGCAAAGGTCTTAGGGGCTCTGCCACTGCGCCCGACACCCTGAAACATAAGTTGACAAGTCTCTTCTTTCTTCTAGTCGTCTTTAGTAAATTGCCAGAATATTTATACAGAGGTTGAGTAAAATTAGGTACAGGCAAATTGTAAATCAATTTGCATTACGAATTAATATCAATTGGTATTTCTAACTTCTAAATACTCTTTATTACAAGCAATGTGTCTAAAGCCATTTTGTTAATTGTGATTTAAAAGTAAGTCCCTGTAGTTACATTAGATAAATTATAAAAAAAATCTTATAAATACATTGAATCTATGTATCGTAACTCTTTATTTGTTAAGTTTAATAGCGGTAGAGCTCCTTGTAAATGAGTTCGTCCAAGGAAGTACTGCCACCTTACATATTTCTGCCGCCAAGCAGTAATATGAGCATTACTACGTTTCGGTTTTGAAGGGTAAGGGTGCTGGTGTAACCAAGTCGTCTCAGGGCATCGAGTATATGTATAACTAGAAATAGAGACGAAATATCATTTAATTTGTTTGAAACTTATTCTGCCAAATCATTACTGTGACAACTGCGCTCCGATTGGCTAGCCCGAGTTCGAAACAATTGACGGGTGTCGTCAATTGTTTCACTTCAAATCGACCAGTTAACTTGAGCTTTGCTATAATGGACGAAAATTGAAAAATTTCATATTTAATATTTAATTACCGATGAAATGTGATTACGTTTGTTTTGTAATTAGGTGTTTTGTTACTTTTCCTACACCACCGGAACAGCAAGCTATTGTTATTACAATAAATACACAATATTTTTGGAATATACGGAGACGTATACACAGGTCAGTTGTTGGCCTGTCTAGTTTTCTTTTTTGTTTTAGTTTTCAATGCAAACAAGAGTTGATATTTAAAAGTGAGATAAGGCCCATTCGCCTGATAAGTTACCAGGGATGGATGAGCCTTATTTCGTCTCTATTTCTGGTTATATACTAGATGAGTTTAATCAACATGATGATTTCAAGTGCAATTTACTTCCTTTTGTAATAAAGATACATCTGAATTTGAATTCGTAATTGTTTTCAGGTTTGAATATCTAACACGGCATTTTGATAAAAAACACGCTGAAGAAAAATTAGAAGGAGAACCGTATGGTAAGTTATAAGTCTGTTCTAATCCAATGTTCCAAAAAAGTAAACATACAGATCATTGACCCGACCATAGACAGTTTAGTATTACTATTTTTTTTTAAATAACGCACGCACTCCTAGCCTAGCACTAGAGAAACCCTGTGTCGCGGGTGCCATGGACATGTGTCCATAGACAAACAACCACAAATAACACCCAAAGTCACGAGATAAATAAATGTTGGCCATACAAATAAACCGTTCGGCTTCGGAGACAGTTAAATTATTTCTTTTATTAACCGATTAATAAAAAGAGGTTTTAATTCGACTGTATTTTTTTTTGGATGTATTTTACGCGATAACTCCGGGCCTTTGTGAACCGATTTTGATGATTCTTTTGTTGTTGGAAAGAGGGTGCCTCAATATTGGTCCCATTTAAATTTGAAGAAAATGTTCCACCTCTAAGGGTGACAAACTAGGGGATGAATCCGATTTCGTGCACTTTCCGGTAACAGTTTTCTATAAAACTTTGCAAATAGGTGTAATTCCACGAGCTTTTGAGGTAGCGTTTTTTTTTATAAAAAAGTTATAATTATTGCCATTGAAACATTGACTTACAATTATATGGACGTCGGGTCCGCGCTAAAAAGTGTCCGAACTTATAGGGCGTTAAAATCGTATACAGAGCGTCATTTACGCTTTAGTCTTCGTTTGTTCGACTGACAGCGAAGCAAGCAAAATTAGACAGTACTGCGATGACATTACAATTTAAATTCAACGTTTTAGCTTTTTCATGTTCCTTTAAATGTCACTACGTTTAAATAGGTTGACTTGGGGCATTTTTTTCGTGGTTTTTGTATTAGACCCGTCGTCCATATAATTGTAAGTCAATGCATTGAAAGTTTATTATTTATTATTATTGAAATGTTGCGAACAAAAATGACAGTTCATGAGTGGGGCGAAGAACTCGAATTCTCCCAACTTTTCAACGCCATACTCATTAGCTATTGTTCTATAATTGTATTTGCAGACTACAACGCAATATTACCCTACCTCAAAGAGCTTGAAGAAGAGCTTCGCGAAAAAGCGGAGAAGGAACGGCAGAAGACAGAAGATCAGAAATCTAGAGGTGAAGAATTTTGGTCTGACAATTTAGGATATCAAGAGAGTAATGTTGAGAAGAAGGATTTGCCAGAATGTAAGTATTTAATATTAATTTCAAAAAAAGGAGGGACGTTGTCATTTCGACTGTATTTTGTGCGTGTCATAGACTAATAATCCAAGGGGACTGCTAATCTCCATACATCGAGTATATAACCAGAAATAGAGACTAAATGTCATTTAATTTGTTTGAAAACTATTCTGCCAAATCATTACTGTGACAACTGCGCTCCGATTGGCCAGCCCGAATTCGAAACAATTGACGAGAGTTTTCAATGTCGGAATTCGAAACAATTGACGGGAGTTGTCTTGACAACTCCGCGCCGTTCGCTCAATTTTATTTACTATTTTGAGGTAACCACGCATTAGAAGTTATTAGGAAATATTAACATCAAAAAAATTGTTTTATCACCCATGTATATTTTTATGCAAACATGCCTATCGTTTAACTGTGAAAGGGTTGGAACCCTAACTAGCCGTGAACAGGTTCACGGCAATGAAATGGGAGACTTCCGGTCCACAAAATTTATTAAAGAAGTAAATTGTAAAGAAAGGCTGTAACAATATAAAGGTAAATGTAAAAAAACAGGTATAACAGTATAAAACACTCCCTACACTTTATTATTAAGGCAGTTACCCCTAAATGGGCCGAGAAACTGAATTACAGAAATAGATACATGAAGGCTGTAGACTTATAAATTGTTACACATGATTAGCTTATTAACAGCTCCGACTGTTGTGGCGGTCGAGCTGGGAGTGACCGTGGTACGAAAACAAAATGAGAAAGTGAAGGAAGATGGAACAATTCAAATTTAAAACTTAAATACATGTAAAATAAAAAATGATAGGATACAAGCGGAGTGAGGCGATACAAAGAGGAAAGATGACGGTGTAAGGAGGTCACACCGTCACAACTGAGTCGATTCTTGAAGTCAGGCAACTTTTATTTTAGTTACTTTGACAGTATAATGTCATAGGGTGGAAAGGGTTGTAACCCTAACAACCGTGTTCAGGATCACGGCAGTAAAACAGGAAACTTTCGGTCCACAAATTTGTTTAACGTGATATTAAAGGTATAGTAAAGAAAAAAACTGTAACAAATAAAAGGTACACAGCACATTAATAAAAAAACAGGGAGTGTTTAACCTAAAATTGGTAGGTGTTAAATTTAGTCACTTACCCCTTATCGGGTTGGATTATATTGAATTACAGATAGACTGTTATTCGCTTATTATTGTCGATACATGATTAACATTGATTGTGTTGATTAAACTTGAAAACAATAAAGAAGATTAGACAATTAGATTTAGTAGTATTCGCTATCGCGGTCAAGCAGCGAGTGACCGTCGAAAGAAATAAAATCAGAATGCGAAGGAAAATGGAACAATTTAAATATGAGTAGAAGAAGAAAAAACGATACGATACGAATGGAGATAGGCGATACAAAAAGTGGGATGACGGTGTAAGGAGGTTACACCGTCCACGTTACGAAGTATCCTAGACACAAAACTGCGAATCGGCGCGATCGAATTTGCAACGCAGAAAACTGCGATGCGATTTCGTGCCCCAAGGCATCTCACTGCCACGGTTCGGGTAAACCATTCTTTCGATGATCACCAACCGTACTGAACGTATTTTTTAAACTAAATAGCATAGATCGTAAAAAGAGTGTTGCACTGCTGTTATTGATAAGGAAGTATAGAATAACATAAAGAATATCGCAGAAAGCAGTTTTGTGTTTCGACGCTATATCGTGGGGCGCCGCTTCAAATATCGAAACAAATTTTATTTTGCAAAAACGTGCGGTTAGAACGATCTATAAATTAAGCTCACGTACGTGAGGTACGGAGTACGAAGTAAATTAGTGAGATTTTTAATGAAATTGGCATATTGACCAACTGCATCACAGTTAATTTACAATTGTATACTTTTTGTGCTTTTGAATAATGAATTGTATAATAAATGGAGTGACGTACTAGACGTAAATAGGAGCTCGTTTTACCGAAGTTAAGAATTCAGAGGGTTCTCGGTTCTTTTGTGGGCCAAGGTATTCAGTATTATAATAAGATAACCCTTTGATAACTTAAAAAATCACGTAAAGGCAACTCTACTAAAGCGAGGATATTAGTCTGATATGGATTATAATCGATTCGTCACTCGACTTTAACTAAGGGTCGACGCGCGATTCCATATTTGCAGAACACAAATTTGTACCTTAACGATGGGAAAATAGAGTTGAATATGCTATAAGCAAAAAACATGACGCGTCGTCTCTGCGCCAGTGTGAGTTGAGTGTGATAATTTTGATTTTGAGGTAGCTGCGCGGTGCGGGGGGAGTGACAGTTTACGTAACAGTCATGTCACGCTGCACGCGGGATAATTTTAAGATTTTTCTCACGATATTCAATAGCAAGTTCATTGACAAAAGTTCCTACCAAATTAACTAATTTGACATAGACATGACACATTAAATTGGACATAGTTATGCAAACAAGAACCAACCCACACCTCGAGTGAAATTGTAAGTGTAGTGTCCTTTACCCGCTCACAAAAGATCCTGCAATATACCAAGCTAAAACGGAGAAAATAAAAGTCCTTCAGGGTACCAACCCTAAATAAGTAACTTTTTAATAGCTAAAAAGAACCATGCTGCTTAACTTCATAATGTATTTTTAAAAATATGCTAAATAGATCCATGTCCCATGTATTGAAGTATTGTAGATCTTTAGCGTTTTCATTACGAAAACTAGAACATGGTTCTCGTTAACTAAATAAAAAGATACGTAATGTTTTCTGTTTATTGCTGTGTAATAAAATAGTTTCCCTATATCATTCTCAATGTTACACATAACTCACGTTGTTTGTCTCAAATAACTTACCTATTTATTTCTTCACACTGTTTTTACAAAAACGTAATTATCTCGAAAGTGAGATTTTGTGGATTCGTTCTAGTTTGCATAACTGTGTCCAATTGTTGTTATGTAAGACAATAAAAAAAAGTATTCCATTAAAATGAATAGACAAGTCATTTGGCATTTTTTTGTCTATCACTTTTTTTGTCATCCAAATACGCAGAAGCTGTATAAATAACCTTTAGTATAAAGTTTTTGTTTCACAAAAGTTTTAAACCTCGTAAATGGCAAATGTTGAATATCAACCGGAAGCGTATTAAATGAATTTGAGACTTCGAAGCCGACTCTCAAGAACAACTACTTTAATTTTATTCCTCATATTAATGTTATATCTGTCACTATTTTTCTTTAAAAAAAACTATTCTTAACATAAATAACATTTTCATAAATGTACTGTGACGTTAGTGTAAGAATGTTAATCTCTTGAAACTTATCTCTCAAAGATACTCCGGGCCTAGATTGTAAATTGTCCTAACCGCACGTTTCTGCAGGGCCAAAGATTCTATTAATATCGTAGGCTTTACCCTAAAGTAAAATGCCGTATGTTATTACACCGTGTGAAACATAAGTTCCATTACCTAATAATATTTAAAGTCCTTATGAATTGCAATTACAGTGCCACCAACAGACGCAGCAGAACAGCATATAGATCTTCCGCTTCAAAAAATCCTTCTAGAAGAAGCGGAACTTGGCGTTGAGATCAAAGAAGAGAAAGTGGACCCTGAGGAGGAGCCACCTGAACAGGACTTTGTGGACTTCGCCGATCATCATAGTACAAGGGATGATGATAGGTAAACTTTCAGTTATTCCTTCGCTTTACCCACGGAAGAAAAAAAACAAGGAAGTGTCTTAGGCCTCGATGAATATCGGAACCGCGGTCGCCAAACGCACTCAAACAAATGATAAACACTACGAAATATTGATAATGACCAATCATTATATAGAAACTTTGACAAATGAAAGTTTCTAATCTAAAAAGATTAAAATTCTGGATTGTTAATATAATTTAAACTTTAACCCTGTTGACATATCGTCGAAAGTTCAATAGCATCAATACCTATTCTTGCTAGTTACGAAGTAGTTTGATATTATATTGAAATTTGAATCAATGTGCTGACATCTAGCGATTAATTGCCGAACGACGACGAATTGGGGTTATTAATTTAGTTCTCCAAAGAAGATGTGACCATATTGCAGGGGTATAAGCTTTACTTTTGCTTCTTGTCACAAAAACATTATTTCGATAAACAAAAAATTAACATTTATTAAAATAACACTTTCAAATGATACGAAATACCACCGCGGGTAATGTTAGAGGATAGGATATTAGAGGTTTGCACGAAAGAATGACACAATCGTACCATACAAAGCGGAAATGGCGGACTGAGCTCACAAAGGTCTTTCGAGACCTATAGCTGGCACGCGTCAGACGCTAACTAACCACTTCTACTTATTTTCTTCACTTCTATTTATTTATTGATCTGTGGGCAACGGGCAAAGATAAGCAAATGACCTTGCTCTGTTGGCACGTGGTCTAACCACGCGACCTGCGCGCCATCTATTTGAGAAGGAATGCGTGTGTTGGTTCCGATTGTTCGCGTGCTATCGTGTGTCGGGTTGGGGCGCGTCGGATTCACTAGATGGCGCGCACTTGTCTGGTAATCCATACATAGAGTAATGTTCGTGTCAGATCAGGCAAAAGAAATAATAAATGGAATGCAAATTTTTTGTTTATATTTGCTTCGACGCACCTTAACAATGATAATATTCAAGAAGATGTCTATGACTTCTGCATTGTCATTATAGTAACCTTCTACTTCTATGTTTCTAGTGACGACAATTACTTCCCGTCCAATACGTGGGCCGCGACGCCTAAAGTGGAATTGCCACCGCCCTCGCCGCAGGCCAAGAAAAAACGGAATCATTACCCGATGAAATGCGAACTCTGCTCGAAGGTATGTTTTCCTTAATTTTTAATCGACTTCAAAAAAAGGAGGAGGTTCTCCATTCGACTGTATGTTTTTGTATGTATGTGACGCGATACCTCGGGTATTTGTGAACCAATTTTCATGGTTCTTTTTTTGTTCGAAAGAGGGTACCTCCATAGTGGTCCCATTTGATATTGAAGAAAATCATCCACCTCTAAGGGCGGCTGTTCACGCATGAAGATTCATTTTTATAAATAGCGCCTAAATTTTAGTATAAAGCAATTATTTTAATGGTTGATTTTGCTATTCTCCAATTCAAGGCGTTTTTCTCTCTCAATGTACTTTGAGTAGTGAGAACCGATTTTTATCATCTCCTGTGTCAAGTCCCGTGTAGTGGCGAACTAGGGGATGAATCCGGGTTTGCGCACTTTCCGGTAACCAATTTCAATAAAACTTGGTAATTATATGTAATTCCACCTACTTTTGAGGTCGGTTTTTTTAGTACTCTAGACTGAGAATATTAAATAAACAAAATAGTATAGAATTCAATTTCAGTAAATAATTTATCTAAAATGATACTTCGAAACTTATATTTCGATGTCGAATAACATGCGTACACAGAACAGTCTGTGTCGCAGTGTTTTTTTAGTGCGACAGTATGGAGATATCCGAAACCATAGAAGTTACAAGGAAACTATCTTTTTGTATAGTCAATTTTTTGGTCAAGCATGAGTTATTCATAAAAATTAATGAAATTGATCAAAATTTTTTTTAGTGCTAATCGATTAAATTTCAAGAAGGGATCATTTCATTGTATGGGACGAAAAAAATCGGGACAGCCGAAGTTGGTCAAATTCCATAAAATTTTTCATACAAAATTAATAAAAAATAACTAACTTTTTTTAATGCTAATGGACTGTTTCTTATAAGTATGATTTCATTGTATGGGAAGAAAAAATCCAGACAGTAGAAGTTGGTCAAATTTAATAAAATAATATTCCGTACAAAAACTGTTCAAAATGTACGGTTTTCAAAATGTAGGGTACATTTTTTTTAGGTGATAAAAACACCATCGTACATGCGCGTGCACATGCGAACGCATACCGGCGAAAAGCCGTACCGCTGTTACGTATGTGATCGAGGATTCATCACAGCTAGTAAGATGCACCGCCATGTGTTAACCCACGATCAGAATGAAGGTTTGTTATTTATTATTATGTAGTAGCAGTAACCTAGTTATCGACTCCTCCTACGTAAAGTATCGTATGTCGAAATTGCCAAGTTTACAGGGAAGTGTTATAAAGTTTTCCGTTTTATTCGGCAAAGCTCGTTGCTCACATAGAGTGATCATCTAATAGATCATCTTACCGATATCTAGAATTTTATAATACTCTATGTGAGTAACGACCTTTGCCGAATATACTGAGAAACGCTAAAGTCACGTATTATGCTTATTTCAGTGAATTCAGAACTTTAAAAGGCTCCACTGTAAACTTGGCAATTTCGACATACGATACTTTACGTGGGAGGGGTCGTTATGTAAGAATTCGTTCAGGGAAGTATTGTCACCCCACAATCTGCCGCCATTACTGCGTTCTGGGTTTGAAGTGGCAATACCCCCAGGCCTTTGCGATTTAAAGTTCTGAGTGACACTGCGTCGTCGTCGTCGTCCGTCTTGTCACTAGATCAAGTCAGCAAGCAGTCAGCTTTATCGAGTGCCAGAAGAGAGTTAAGTGCAGGCCACACCACGAACGGAGCTAGCTCACGTAGTTGCATGCAAGCAACTATGCCAGTTAAGTTAACTTAGGTTAGTTTAGTCTTGAGCTGAACTGGAGTGAATGAAATAGGATGACTTTCTTTGGTCATTCACAAGGGTCGTAGGTGCTTATACTACTAGAAAGGGCGGATGAAAAAAATATGCAGCAGTTATTATAAACCTATTTATGAACAAAGTAAAATGTTTTTGTAAATTTGTTTTATTATAGGAAGAGTTGGTATTTCACATTTATGTATAATCTACTTTGTGTATTCTACTAGAAATATAATTACATTACACTTTATTGCTATTTTTAACAATCCAAAGATTCGCATTAAATAAGTAACAAACAAAATTACATTAAATACAAAATCTACTTTTTGAATGAAATTGAAACTTATTACAAAGGGAATAAAAACTTAAATCATTCTATAAAAAACGGCTATAAGTATTAGAAAGAAGCCGCTGGCTAAAACCGTATATCGTTATATAAGTTATAGGCGTGACAAGGTCACGGAAGTAACAGTCTTGACAAAATCACGATGATTTATCACTGTGATTTTTTTGGAACCGGAACGACGGTCACGGCGATAGACATGTAACGCTATTCCCCATGTCTAACCCGGGAGTTTGTTGACTCTTAGATGATAAAAGGGATCCGTTGGCCAACAATTTAATAGACTTCAGGGTTCTTGGCAAACCATGCTACTAGGTTCACGGTCGATTATGTTTTGTCGATTCGTTCCCAATGATATTCGCTTTACATTCGCACCTAAAAATGGGAGTTCTGCTTGATCAATTTTATTCAGTACTCTTTTAACATCATTTATTGTTATTTTTATTTTTAAAATAGTATTTAGTGTTAATTATGTTAAATAATAATAAAATTAATACTACTAAGTATCATCATTCAGCCATACGACGTCCCCTGCTGGGCATAGGCCTCCCCCCAACGATCTCTACGATGATCGGTCCTGCGCTGCCGCTTCCCGCGACCTTTAACAGATCCACCTACCCACTGAGCGTCGTTGTTGATGGTAGCCGGGTCTCCCCCGGGGATTCTTCGCACCCCATGTCCTGTTTCTAAAGCCGCTACCGTGACTAGGAAGAGCAGGACTGCCAGGGACTAGGGGCCATTTCTTTGGTGTGTGTACCATAGGTTCAGTTTTGCCATAATCGCCATGATTGGCAGGCGGGTTGGCGATCGCAGTTCTGCCAAGATGGGTAGAAGATGCTGCTGCCCGTCTTCTTCTGGCAATTTTCCTTTAGTCGCTTTTTACGACACCCACAGAATGAGAGGGGGGTGTGGTGCTATTCTAGCCCGGCACCACACGGCGCTGTTACTGCCCTGCTTGTCATTCACACATTCGCATTTCAGAATTTTCGATATATTGGCACCTAAAGCTTCATGGTCACCTAAAAAAAGCCAATTACGCTCACTTAACAATAAAACTGAAACTAATTAAGATAATAAAAAACCGATTAGATGGGGTTGCAGATCTTGTTTCGCTGATCCCAGATATGTCAATAACTCAATTTCGTTAAAAATGCGATTACGTCACTTATGATAAAGATGGCAGATTAAGTATAATTGTATGTAAATTGTTTGTTGTCTGTAGTTGCATGCAAAGCTAATATAAGAAAATACCAAATAAGTAGTGACTAAGGAGACGTGCGGGGGTGAAGGGCGACCTATTTTACGTAGCTAGCGGGATCGTTGGGTTACTTTACTTAGCTCGGTTAGCCTAGTTCGCGGTGTGAACCGAAGTATGCTCCGGCTACGTGAGCCTGCGCATTAACCTTGTCATTCCTGCACTTTGTAATGCATATCGATGCCCACAACTGGTGCTGCCATCTGTCTGTGTCATCGAGTATATAACCAGAAATGGCGACGAAATAAGGGCCATATATGCGGTACAGCTCTTATAAATACCAACTCCCGTTTGCACTGAAATATAGACAGGCCAATTACTGACCTGTGCGTACGTCTCCGTATATTCCAAAAAATATTCTGTATTTATTGTAATAAAGATAATATCTCTAACAATGCCGTGCCAAACATTTAATTACAAAACAAACAGAATCACATTTCATCGGTAATTAAATATTAAATATGTAATTTTGCAATTTTCGTCCATTATAGCAAAGCTCAAGTTAACTGGTCAATTTGAAGTGAAACAGTTGACGACACTCATTCACGATACCCGTCAATTGTTTCGAACTCGGGCTAGCCAATCGGAGCGCAGTCGTCACAGTAATTATATGGCAGAATAGTTTTTAAACAAATTAAATGACATTTCGTCTCTATTTCTGGTTATGTACTCGATCGGGCAATCTCAAAAAAATTTTACAGATCAAGGTCCAAGGTACATTGTATGGAGTCAACCGCCACTAGAACTTTTATACTGGGAATCTGAAATTTTCAGCATTTTCTATTGTAAAATAAAATATAATTTATGAAAATATCTAATCATATTTTTCTGACAGATGGTGACCAAAAAGTAAAGGTTGAGGACACAGACATTAAGACAGAAAGCGAAGAAAACCAGGAGAATGGAACTAAGAAAAAGAAAGGAAAAACGTAAGTTACCCTTCGTCGTTATTTATTAACTAATGATTCACGAATTAAAAGGAAATTCCTATTAACTCGACTATCACATTTCGCTAAATGTCCAATTCTTATAATATCCACTTTTCAAAATGTCCAATCGTCGTTTTCACTTCTTAAAATGTTTAATTCTCAAAATATCCAATACTCAATGTGTCTCCAATTCTCAGTCACTTCTCAAAATCTCACAATTATTATAATATCCACTTCGCATAATACCCAAATTATCAATATGTCCAATTCTCATAATGTCCAACTTTATACAAGTATAAATGTGTTTTCAGCAAATCGAAAACGAAAGCCAGCAAATTAAACCTTCCTCCAACGAAAAAGGGACATCGGAAACGTGAACACTCTTGCCCGTATTGCAACAAACGTTTCCTGCACATACAGACCATGCAAGTGCATCTGAAAAGCCACGAAGGTATTATATTTGTACAAGTTCCTAATACATAAACCACACACAACAAAAGTTCTTTAATGGAGTAATTTCTGAAAAATAAATTAATATCATGTTTATAAAACGACATCTAGTATATAACCAGAAATAGAGACGAAATGTGATTTAATTTCTTCAGTAATCGTTTATTGCATAGTCACATGTTAATAATATTAAAATTACAGTACATGTGACACCCTGTAAGGGTGTTTGCAAAGAGAGTGGCGCTATACACATTTTAAAAATAAGATAAAAATTATTACACAGTACTATTTCCTAATTGATACCACGCATACAAAATGGTGTCTAGTAGGACTATATAATTTACACATTATGTTTCAACTCTATACTAATTGATATAATTTTACCTACATACATTTATACACAGAAACATACAATTATAATTTTCTATTATTATTTCATATTAAATCATTTAAAAAAGGTCATCAAAAATATAATTAAAGTCTTCTGTTACATTGTAATAACTCCTATCAATTAAGAGAGTTTTTAATTGTTTTTCAAAAGCCTTGGAATCCTGAGTACATTTTATGCTGTTCGGGAGATGGTTATATGTTTTTATTAACACATTCTTTGAAAACTATTCTTCCAAATCAGTACGACGACAACTGCGCTCTGATTAGCTAACCCGAATTCGTAACTGGAGTTTGCTATAGTGGACGAAAATTGGAAAAAATACATATTTAATTACCAATGAAATGTGATTCCGTTTGTTTTGTTATTAGATATTTTGCTGTTTTTCCCACACCACCGAATGGAACAGTCCCCCCATAGTTAAAGATATTATCTTTATTACAATAAATACAGAATATTTTAGTAATATCCGGAGACGTACACACAGGTCAGTTGTTGGCGCTGTACTATTTCAGCTTTCTAATTTGTGATTTTATCGCAAACGAGAGTTGATATTTAAAAGTGAAATAAGGCCCTTTTTCCTGATGAGTTACCAGTGATGGATGGCCCTTATTTCGTCTCTATTTCTGATTATATACTCGATGTAGGAATACAATGTATAAAGCGACATCTCTTGTAAAATTCTGGTAGCTGTATAGGTACGTGGTTGACCGAAGAAACATTTTTGTAGATTTGTCACAGATGGCACCACGGCAATAAAACACCGACAATATAATACACACTTAGTTTATTCGTAAGGCCTACAAAACGTATGCTTATTTTTAGTAGCAATAGACGTTTTTGTAAAAGAGTTCACCCAGGGAAGTACTGCCGTACGACGTACTGAAGTATCTATTTCTGCCGCTCTAATGACAGCATTACTGTGTTCCGGTTTTGAAGGGTAAGGTTGCTGGTGAAATTACAGGCACATGGGACTTATCAACTTATGTATCAGGTGGCGGACGCAGAGGCAGTGTCCTTCAGATCTTTTCGATTTAAAGCTCTCGAGTGGCACTGCAACTGTTATGGACAGGCGTGTCGCTTACCATCAGGCGCACGACTCGTTTGTCCAAACACTTGTAATTATAAAAAAAATAATTAAAA